CACTAAAGAGGGGTTCGGTGAATGCGCATATGAACCTGGTGGGGTTCGGTACCTCCAACAAGGTTAAGAACCACTGTTCTAGGCACTAGGACAGTACGCAATTCCCCATATCACCCACAAACCGAAAGGTTGGTAGAACGACTAAATCACACCATCACATCCATGCTGTGTCAGGTGGTCAATGACACTCAGACGAACTGGGCTAACACGTAGGCGAGGTCCTGGCAGCATACCGGTTGGCCCCGTATGCATCGACGGGATACTCTCCATTCTATTTAATGTATGATAGGGAGCCAGTCCCTTCCATCGAGCACCAGCTTTTTGACCTCCCAGCAGGGGCTGCAAAATGGCCTATAGCGGCACGATGGGCCATGCAGCAGTGGGAGACGGCGAGGGAAGTGGCACAAGCTGCAGTGACTTCTGCTTGTTCCGTGAATGAACGGGCTAGGAAAAAGGAAGTGACGCCCCTGCCTTTCGAAGTGCCCACAGGTCCGCTTAGGAACCTCACCCAAACTGCACTGTCCGTGGCAGGGTCCTGTAAAGGTGGTAGAGATTCTTAGGCCTCAATGTGTACGTGTCCAATTGGGATGCCGGTGATGGTATGTATATCCCGCCTATCTAAAGCCTGACCGGTCGAAGCCTACCACAGATATGCCACTAGACTCAGAAGAGCACCTACGACACTCAACAAAAACTGGGTTATCACGACCACCTACACCTTCACCTCTTCACTCACCTTCATCATCACTTCCGAGGTCAGGGAAGCCTTTTGCCGCGACGAACCAACCTCAAGAAGGTTGACTTTCCCAGGACCGCCCGTGACCAAGGAGGTGCGGCAGCATCTGACCGAGCCGTGGCTACATGGCCCGGTTACCCAGGCATGGGCCCAGGCGATGCTCCCACAGTGATGAACAACCACTGAATGCAAGACCATGGAACAATGGATGAAAATGGCATTGTCATTCCTTCGCTGTCGTCGGTTGTTCGCTTGTTACAGTTCGAAGGTCTGGTTGAACCTTACGTGTACCGTCCTGTCTTACGGTGACTCGTTTATTGCCATCTAAAAATCTGTTCTGTACACATGCACCCCACACCTACACACAAAGTGACAGGACTCTGGTTAAGTTCAAAATTGCTTTTTTATTGACCGACAAACGTTTTTTTCCCCCCCTTTATCTCTCCTTACTCCCCTACCGTCGGGATTACCCTGAATCCCTTGGATTTCGCAGGGGTTGTGTTGAGTTGAGGAAAACTTTTTTTTCAGGGCGGAGCGGAGGGGGGGGGGGTGATGTAGTTGCTAATCCTTACATGATCCGGGGGTAGAAATACTCACTGGATCCCAGGTTATATCTTGACTTTAAGCTTTCGTGACTGCAGGAATTCATATTCTTTGGGTCTTTCGGTCAAGCCACGTAGATAGAAAAAAGTATAAAAATAACATTATCACGACGTTTCGATCACAACACAAGCAATCGTCATCAGGTGAAAAAGAGGGGGAAAGCTGCTGAGGCAGGCTGTTTATAAAAGTTTAGAGATGGGTGGGGCAGCTAATGTTAATGTAGGAGAAGGCTCCAACACCGGCAGTAGGTCTACACCAATCAAAGAGCTGTTTATAAAGGTTTAGAGATGGGCGGGGCAGCTAATGTTAGTGTAGGAGAGTTCTCCGACACCGGCAGTAGGTCTACACCAATCAAAGAGCTGTTTATAAAGGTTTAGAGATGGGCGGGGCAGCTAATGTTATTGTCGGAGAGGTCTCCGTACCCGGCAGTAGGTCTACACCAATCAAAGAGCTGTTTACAAAGGTTTAGAGATGCTTGTAAATGTAAGCTAGGAAAGAGCCATCGCCACATGGAGGTGGTTACAGTTAAGACGGTGTCACGAGGGAAAGGGAATAGGCGGGGCTAGAGGAAACGCCCATGGAGAGGGAGGGGACATCACCGGATGAGGCGGGGCGATCGGGGCACATACTGGACAAGTGCGGAGTGAAGAGGATGCGTGTGGCGTGAGCTCGCGCGGAAAAAAAATGAAGAGTGTGTCGTCTTAATCTTCGTCGGGTGGACTCATTATACATGTACACAAGCTCCGGCAATAAATGCAAGCTTGGGCAATACCATATAAGAAAGTATAGTTTTGCTGGCTGGATATCTGGCTGCCTGGCTGGATTACGAGCGTGTGGGCAAGTGCACGGTGGTTGTGTCACCGCGCACATCTGTTTGATGATGCCACCCGCATCCTCACAACGTTGAGCCTGGTCCGTGCATGCTGACATCTCGCCGTGTATCATACGACAGTATACGAAAAAAAGTTTTGCTGGCTGACTAGAGGGGGGGGGGGGGGGGGAGGGACGGACGGTCACATCTGTCGGGCGCATGTGCTGCTAGTTTGAAATAAATATCACCCGCCACTCAAGGGATGAGGTATAGTGAAGCATTCTATTGTGAGCCTCATTACCAGTGCACTAACTAACCACAGTGCCACACTGCTCCTTCAATACGAAGATGATAATGATGAAAACGAACATCTTTCAATAAATTTATTCTATTTTAAAAATATAAATATCTGAAACCCCCCTGCAGCATAACAAAAGGGTTGTTTACCCGCTTTTGTGCAGTTTAACAAAAGGTGGCTTAACTCAGCCCTCCCACCCACCCACGTCCATTTCTGGCTCCTCCCCCACCCCCCTCACCTATATATAATCCAAGTCGCCTCGGAACTGTGTACTTGACACAGATATTCTGCTGTGACTGTTCCACCTGAAGACGGAAGCTTGTGTTGCCTCCGAAACGTCGTGATTTAATTGTTCTATTTTATTTTATTTTACCTACGTGACTTTACCAAGGAATCGTCAATCTGCGGTAGCGGAAGAGCATCCGCCATTGTGATCTTATTCAGTCGACGGAAATCGATGCAAAACCACAATGAACTGTGGAAATCGATGCAAAACCACAATGAACTGTCTGGTTTCTCTACCAGGACGATAGAGCCCCCCCCACCCCATGTGCTTGTGGATGGTGAAATAATGTCGGCTATTTAACATCTCATCGATCGCGTTTTGTTTCTGAGCTTTCTCGACCGGCCTCATGCAAATATGAATTTTGGCAGATGGGCGGCGCATTTCCCGTTTCTATGTGGTGTGACATTAAATTAGTACGCCCTAAATCATACTTACTAAATATATCCTCACAATCCTGTAACAATGTTCGAAGGGCCTGACGCTGTGGCTTGGACAACTTAGCATCCTGCGCTGTCACAACTTCTAGCCAGGGGGTAGCCTCCTCGCACGCAGGATCAGTTTGATGATAATGATGAAAGCAAACATCTTTAAATACATTTATTCCATTGTAAAAATATAAATATCTGAAATAAGGCGTTGCATGGGAGAGTAGGTCAAACAGAATAAGCGTAATCTTGATATTAAGCTTTCGTGACTGCAGGAATTACTCTTTTGTTATTTCGATAAAGTCACGTAGAAATAAAATAAAATAAATAATAGAAAACGTTTCGATTGCAGCACAAGCAACCGTCATCAGGTTTGAATGCAAGCTCGGAGAGAGACACATATACAGAGAGAGACAAACACAGAGACGGAGAGAGACACATACATAGAGAGAGACACAGAGAAACAACGCCTCTGTGTTGCTGCTGTTTTCCTGCTGTGATTGTCTCACCTGATGACGGTCGCTTGTGTTTTGATCGAAACGTCGTAATCTACCTACGTGACTTTACCGAAATAACCAAAGAGTATGTTAGCTGTTGTGTTAGCCGACTCTCTGTGTTGCATCGCATTACATTTCTAAGTTTGCTAGGTTTGATTTCTCAAATTTCCAATTTCTCTCCCCCTGCTGCAGATCCCACCCCTCCCTTGTCTCTCATTGACATGCTAATTTCTCTGCCGCACCCCCCCTCTCTCTCCCCCATTCCACCTATCTCTTATGTTACTGCAGCCCCTTCTCCCCCCTCCCTCCCTGGGATCTATATAATACCTCGTCACAGAGGCGTTGTCTCTCTGCGTATCTCCTCTGTCTCTCTCTGTGTTGTCTCTCTCTCTCTCTGCGTCTCTCTCTCTCTGTTTATGTCTCTCTCCGTGCTTGCATTTACATTCAGTTCTCACCTGATGACGGTTGCTTGTGTTGCAATCGAAAAGTCGTGATCTAGTATTTATTTTCATTTTTCTTTCCACGTGACTTTACCGAAAGAACCAAAGAGAGAATAAGCGTACTTATTTCACAGGAGCTGAAGGTCAGTGTTAACATCTCATGCAAATAGGAAGCTGCATTGAAGCAGTGTAATATTCTGAGGATTATGGCAATTCACAGAAATGTCTCTGGGTCATCGTAAACAGGAAACCCGTGGGCAAATGACTAAGAATGAGAGCGTTGCTTTGAATCATGCACGATTTATCTATAGATAGTACACGACAGTACCTCTTTTCGGAGCACTGAACATCACCGTATATTGCTGTAAAAGGAACAACATATGTACGGGAACTTGTGAAAGGGAGCGCAGTATAGCACAATTTTCGAATGTGGCTCCGCACACAATCCTGTAATTGAGTAGTAACCTCAAGGTTTGGGTAGGTGGACCATGCAGAGATGGAGCCTCCATGGGACCTTGCCACCTCGTCCGTTGATTTATACCAGGTACTAATTTCTTCCCACGTTTCCTGATTCCCCCCCTTCACTCAAAAAGGAATTTGCTGAACATTACAAAGCAGGACCCTTCTCAAGGAGTCTTGACATAGATGGTTGCTGCATAATGGCCAAAAAGGCCATATTGCATCAACACACAGTTTACATTTTCTTTTCAGGCAGTGTGTGAGTGTATTGCTAATTGTGTTTGTGAACCATTGCCAACGCAGCATCATCATTAAATGTTTAATTCCAAGGAAGATACTCCTAAAACGTAGTTACGAGAGTCAGTGGCACATTCCTGGCATGCATGTCACTGCATTCACTTGTAAAATGAATCATGAACCAAAATATACACACATACGTCTCAAGTCAATCAACTCCGGTCATCTTTATTTAAAAGGTGAGCAATTATTCAGGTGCCTTTTTGAAGAAAGGACACCCATGTAACTATAGTTGTGCACGAAAATGTTTAAATCAATTAAACGAGCAAAGCACGGCCAATTCTTACAACATGTCGTAAGATCAATTATACCTACTTTGCAAAAAAGGTGTCATGTAATTTCCAAACAATGACAACCATTAAAGCTTTACCAACATATAACGTGACTCTGGCTGTAAGTAGCAACTGCTCTAAAGCCCAGTTTCCTGTAACTTTAAACATAACATTAATTCTAAGCAATCATAGCAGAAATAACACAATACAACATTCTCAATATGACACAATACCAAAAGTGCATTTAGGTATCTGTACATGATGTATTTATATTCACTTACTGTCCTTAACCCACTGTCCACCCCACCCCCACATAACTACCCCCCCACAAAATCAATTTAATAGTAAAACATTTTGTTTTATCGCGTTCAAGTGGTTCATGTGCATTTTGAGTGAAGAGTAAGTTTGGGTGATAAATGGTCCATGGTGGGTGAATGTCCAAGGCCTGTGTTGAAACGTAGGTCCTTATTTTCCGCAGGCTGCTGGCAGTTCGCCCTGCGAGGGACAGACAAAGTTGTGTAGTTGGTGCATTGTTGACGTCGTTTATTTTTGAGAGCCCTCTCCAAAATCAAACAGTTCCCAGCCACATTAGTGAAACAAACAGGATTGGTGAGTGCTGGACGGAGTACATTGGAAACGTGAATTTTCTAAAGACAAACAAAATATCCTTGTGAGTAAAAGTGAAACATAATAGCAAGTGTATCTTTACTCAAATGATCAATGAGCAGGTACTCATTGCATCTGGCATATTGGTAAGATAAAATAATGATTTTCTAACTCCATGCCAAACCAATTCTGTTATTCGATGGAGATGTTGGTTCCTGTAATGTCAGAATTCATCTGCTGCCTCAGCGCTACTACCAATGCTATCGTGGGCGTGGCGACACTTGAACTTATAAGATAATACAAGCCACAATGTGGTGTCGTGGTATAAAGAGACTTGTACCCCTGTCTGAGTCTGCACGACATTTCTGCGGAGCTGTTGGTGACCATTAACTCATTGCACTTGTTGCGAAATGGGTGTAAGCACAGGTGGCTGTCTGCATTCATGTTCAGGTGCCTCAATGGGGTGTCCTAAGTGCTCGGACGTGGTCATCGTTACCTAAAATAAACCACCCCCAGCCTCCCTGTGTTTGTCCTCCCTGAACGCGAGACCGTCTCGCCGCCACTGCCCGGAGCTTGTCACGTGCGTGAGTGGCGGCACAGCGAACTTTTCTTGACATTTATCCGTTAAGGGCATTTTATTTTTCTTTGTTAGAGCAGCACTTAAAGAGGTCCAGAGAACAAAAGCTATGACTGCACAAATGTACAACGTGGCAGCCTCCTGTGTACAGTGCTTCCTTAGGTTCGAACTGCTTCCTCCAGCATGTACCTATATAACCACACCTGTGCATGTACATGAACATGCTTTGTTGAGAGGGTTACTTTTGAAAGGAATACATTTTTTTTGTTACCGAAGGCTCGGGGTTTAAGAGATCTGTTTGAAATGTTTTTGTGTTTATATAAGGTGAGTAAGATCACGGATAACCCCACAGATAATGGGATCCGTGATATTATAATAAGATAATTGTCCCAGCTCTAATGCTTGAGCCTCATGGTCATCAACATATTTATTTTTTGCCTGATATAAAACATTTTAACGAAGATATGTTCTTACCTTTTACACCATTGTTATCCACATGTTAGGAGTAATAGGAATAAATAGGACCGCAGATAATAGGCGTTTTTGTGGACCCTATAGCTGCCGCGGATAATAGGAGTCACAGGTTTACGGAAAAGAGGCATTGTACTGTAACCGACTATATTTAAATTATAATCGACTACGTTATGGTGGTTAATTATTCACTTCTTTTTCACCTTGACAACGATTACTTAAGGGCGCTATATAAATTACAATAATTATTAACAGACATGATCATTTTTTCCTACTATTTCAAAAAAAAATCTTATTTGATTAGTCGCGCAATTGAACTAATAAATGGTCGAGTAATGAATAAGGTAAATAATAAGATAACCCAGCTTTGCTTAAGAGTCATGGATTAACGTGAGCTGTTTGGGCCAAACTGAGGCCATTTGGAACCTTATGGTTCGGTGAAAACGCCCTGGACTCAAACAGCCAAACTAAGGCAACTCAATTCGTGGGACAAAGGTATACATCTGGTGTCCATTGCTGAGTTGCTTAACTTTGCACGTTCCTCACTGGGTTTTAGCTGTCAGCAGGCAGATATGTGTAATCCAATTCATCAGGCACGTGTGACATTTTAGACTAACCAGAAATTGATATCACAGGTCTTTATTCTGCTCATAACCTTTGATGGGACTAAACTACACAACTGCTGGGCTTGCGCATTTGAGTAGTAATGAGTACATATACATGTACAGCCGTTTTGTAATCAACTGTTGGATGAAGACCTCTCTATGCCATGCGCGTTGTTGGGGTGTTTTGGTCCATCCATACTTTACCTGCTGATTAGTGTGGGCTGAAGGTGAGGATCATAGATATGGGAACATGGAAGTACAGTACCGACGATGGACTTCAAGGCCCTGCGGTCTCCTGCCCACGACGTGGCTAAGCAGACCCTATGTCAACCTCTGTGTGCCATTGTGATTACCCATACAAGCACTATGCAGGATAATGTCTGCTTAGCTTCTGATATTTGACAATACAGAGTGCATTCCGGGCCATTTGTAGTCACATACCCCAGCTATAATGGCAGGTGGCACAGCCATCGACTCATAACCGAAGGCTCATGTTCCAATTCCAGTCTGGAATCGACTAAACCTAATATCCCCGAGTTGGCAAATCAAATGTACATCTGTGGTTATCGAGATAGTGACCACGGCCATGGGCATGTGTATTTTTCCATGTTTGGCTCAGGACAATCATTGGACACGAATGCCTCCCACCCCCAGTACTGTCTTGTTTGACACGCGTGTAGGGATGCTGAGAAGTGAGCCCTAATTAATGAAGAACTTCACACAATCATTCGCGGCATAACGAGCCACAGCTGGTGTTGTGGCTTGGTAAGCGGGGCGAGGCTCGCTCTGATTGGTTGAGTGGAGAAGCCAATCAAATCGAATGGCCATAATGGCTGAAACAGCCATCTGATTGGTCATCTGTTTGAAGCAGAGGTGGGCCCGGGATTTTCAAAGGGGTCAACGATTGATGGAGACGTTGGGGAAGTGAGGGCCGGGAAAAATAAAGGGGTACCCAATAGTTACCTACACGTGTTTTGTAGCGTTTGCTTTCTGGAATGTAGAGTGTTCTTACCTTGTATGCACTGCAAACCATCGGAAGGAGTGCCTCCATTGCCTTGTTCTGGATTTCTTCCGTGTGAGCCTGCATAGGAGAATGGTTCACAACGATCATAGGAACAAGACAAGGAGATCGAATATCACTGAACACCTTTGTAAAGGGTGATTGATTGCATCCAAGACAATGGTACATGGTGAACATACAGTATAAATAATTTAAGATTTACAGACTATTGCGACTTGATAGAGGAAAAATGCAAAGTGTTGCAAGAAAGTGTTCATACACTGAATAATTCAGCAATAAATGCAGGACTGAGGATCAATGTGGAAAAGACAAACACCATGGTGTTTGGAAGCCAACATTCAGAATGAAATTATGATAGGAAACCAAAAGATAGAGAATATACAAAAATGTGTCTACTTGGGAAGCATATTTACCTGGGACAATGACTGTACGAAATACATAAGAGCAAGGATCGCAAAGGCAAAATGAGCCATAGCAGCATTTAACAACATACACAGAAGCAAGCAAATTAGCTACAAAACCAAGCTGAGAATCTTAAAAACATGCGGTTTCAGCACATCTTTGTATGCCTGCGAAACTTGGACACTTTAAAATACTGTGACAGGGACAAAATACTGGCATTTGAAATGTACCGCTTTAGGAGGATAATGCATCTTAGTTGGGCACAAACAGTGACACACGTAGGAGTAAAAGAAAGGCTGAACGTAACAGAGGACTTGATGCAAGTGGCACTAAGAAGGAAACCGAGCTAGTTTGGGCCACACACATGTAGGATGGAGAACAACAGGAAAATACAAACTGTAATGATGGGAATAATGGAGGGAAGTAGAAAAAGTGGAAGACCCTGAAGAGAATGGCCGGACGACATCAGAGATTGGTGCCAGAGAGATGTGGCCTAGCCTCAGCGTGTTGGCACAGGATAGAGGGACGTGGAAACAAGTGACACAAATTGCAGTGGACACCTGCGGGATTCCTGCCCATGGAGTTTGATGATGATGATGATGAGCCTACATGATAGAATGTACGCGCTGTTTATTTCAGCTCTCGTCAAGATCAACCGTCGTTGGATGGAGAGATGAAGAAACTGGTTAGGGACTGCCGACCGAAATGAGCGTTTCACCTCAAAGCTCAGTGACGCAGGAAGACACTTTAACATTGAGTTGAAGGAACAGCCTTAAGTACGTATTTTAAAATCTGCAGTTACACTTTTCAAGTCAACCCAATAATTATGCACCTTCCATCTTTGCCACGGAAGTAACCCAAAGTTCGATACTGTCATAGAATTACTTGTTTGACTCTGTTAAATGTGTAGTGACGTTAATACTGTCACTATAGCGTTAGCACCGGCCACTATCACAGGAGTGCTGCTGGGCGCCTGAAACCTCCCTAGGAGGCTTGAGGGACACGTGATGGGGAGCCGAGGGCTCCCGACATGATGCAGAAGGGGGCATGGCCGAGGGTGGGGCGAGGCTGTGGCCGGGGGGATAAAGGCGAAGCCCCGGCCAGGGTTTGGGGCTCGTCTGTGGAATCATCCTGGGGCCCCGCGTCTCGTCGTCTCCGGCACTTCGGTCTTCGCTCGGCATTGTGGGTCAGGCAGCGTATTAGGCTGACTGACCCGTTCGTGTAGTTAACTCGCTATTCACATAGTTAACAGTGTAGCTACACCTAACTATAGAACCAGTATACGTTAGAGTTACCTGGAGAGGGAAAGTTGTTAATAAACGTGTTGCCTCCAACTCCAGAGTGTGTGTCTCCTTGTACACCACTACAAATGTAGTATCTTATGTCTGTTTAATGTATGTCAATGATCTAGCCACGATGTTTGCCCTCCGTTTTATTCAATTGTCATGGATAGACTGTCCCCCACCACGAGAATGTGGAATTTCCACCACCAGCTTATGGTTATCAACAGAACTGAGCACCACCGCTTTGCTAATTCATCAAGGATCCCTTTTGACTATTTTCATGTGATTATAATACAAAATCAAGTTCAGTGAAAAGATCTGTTTATATTTAAGATAGTTTGTGTATTCCTTCATGTCTGGGTTAAGACCATAAAAAGCATTCAACACTTGAGAACCTAATTTATCCATGAGTGACTGCTAAGCTTCAAGCTCAGGATCTCAACATTGCTGGCTCCGTGCTCTAATACGGCGATTATGAGACCCCTGACCCACTCGGCCAACTCTAAATGGCTAAGTATTAAAACAGCCCCAGTTTTAAGAAATGCCATCTTAGCAAGTAACCAATTTTTACAGAAGCTGTTCAAAACGGCCTATTAACAGAGCCTTTCCTACCCAAAATAAGAGGGATATTACTGTGTACAATAATACACGATTGCTGATCTTTCACCCAATCAGAACTCGCGGTTTGATGAAATGTTGTATGTTGAACTTCTTTCACACCGTACGTAGCCAACTGTGCTAATGGGAAGTGCGGGGAAAAGACAACAAACTAAGCACGAAAAAATATTTTAAACAACTGAATTTTCAATCTTAGATTCAAAAGCGCATAAGCTCCAGTGGTTTCCTAACATCGGAAGGAAGAACATTCCAGATGGCCGCAGAAGCGCATCCGAAAGCATGTCATGCAGTGACCGTCTTTGTAAACGGATGTCAATGCAAGCCTGGCAGAAAAAAAAAACTTCTGCCAACGGTCCTGCTTTCGTCATGAACTCACTTGCTTATGTCTACGATTGTTTCTGATATCCTTAAAGCCCAGCTACTACGAAGAAAAAAAGTTTCAAGACAACATGATTCAAGAAACAGGGAAACATGTTTCCCCGAGTGGTTCTGGCTTTTACTTTCAGAAAGATGATAAAGAAACATTTTCCTTTGGTCAATCAGAAGAGACTATGTGAGCATGAGTCATCGATCACGTAACTTTGCAGCTTGAGGAAATACGTTTCTGTACATTTGTTTCCAGCATGCGTCATTGGCATTACGTGCCACTTGCAGCCGGACCAACCTACAACTGTTGCCATGTGTAGCAACTAGTAATGATGGTGGAGTTGGCCCGATGGTTGAATGGCTCATAATAGCCCATGTTTGAGCACTGAGTCAGTGTGGATGAGTTCCTGAGTTTAAATATCGGTTTAGCCACCTGTGATTAAACCTGCGTATTCATTCTCAAGTGTAGCGAGTTGATGGTCTCTGTCCCAGTCATTAGTGACAACAGCAATACACATAATTTCAACTATTTCATAAATATTTATATAAATCAGCTCAAGCTTCCTGTAAATCATGTGCTCACTGTGTGGCCACCCCCACTCCAAATCCCTCCACTCTCCCCTCCGCCCCCTCTGAAAACAGATGCCGCTCCTCTGTGCAGTAAAGTTGAGGCCCTGACGCAGCCTCTCCCTTTCCTGACCCGTTTCTCCATTCCTGTTCCATCCTTTCCCTCTTATTTCACATTGCAACTCTTCTCCTCTCTTGTCTGTCCCATTACATTTCCTTTTCCCCCATTCATTGTATCCTTGACTCCACACTCCCCCGACCCGTGGCACGCCACGGGTACAAAGTTTGCGAGTCGTTATGATCATTTCTCATTTATGGTCTGAAAACGACAAATTTCAGTTGGACTGTCATGCAGTGAACGCTATTGTCAGGAGGTTACCCTGTAAGCGTCCATTGCCCCGTGGGTTGAGAGGCCTCTTAAAGTGACATCATAAGCAGTTATTGACATCGCCTTCCGGAACGCTATCCACTGGCATGTGTGATGTTGCACTTCTGAAACATGTGAAACCCAACCGTTAATTTATTTGTCTCACGACGGTACTAATTGAATGTGATTTGGATATAAGTTCAAAGGAACCTGATGATTATGGCGTTGATGGCAATTATGATGATGGTGGCAAGTATGCAACAAGCACTCACCCCATTGAAGACGATCCAAGGGACGTATTTGTGCGGAGGGTTGAGGGCGTCTGTGAGCTGGGCGTTGCTGTGCATCAGCTGGTTGCCCAGAGTGCCATTGGCACACGTCTCAACCTGTTGCCAGTTCAGCGTTGGTGCCAACAAGGCCGCACACTAAGAGAGAGACACACACGGAGATGGCTTTTACAAATGTGAAAAAAGTAATGAATCTACAGATGTTTTTTTTTTAATGCAACAAGACGCGAGCCCGACATATCACGCCGAAAAGTACAATTATGTGTATATACAGTATTTGAAAGTTGATGACAAGTGGTGAAGGCCAAATGTGAACCTGATATCAACATCAGATATGAATGTAACAAATTGACAGTAACACTTAAAAGACCGTTTCAATCAAGTGTGAAGACAGAAGAGAGCAATGGGGTCCAGAGTTAAAACTTCTGTGCAGCAAGTCATCTGCAAGGAGACGCAAGTTGAATGGTGGGTGAAAGATTAAGTAGCATTAGCAGGTTGACAGATGGGTACAAAGGGCAATCACCAAATGACGACTTGTACAACAGTCAAAGGGAAGTAACAGAGCAACTGTGAGATACAGTGAGGCAATGGAGAGTGACAGGGCTGTATCATTAGTGAGGTTAAAAAGCTATTATTTGGATTCTACCAAGAGGGTTTCGCATTTCCTTGTGTCTCCATTACGAGCGGTCACCACCGTGGCTCGGCTGAGAGCGGAGTGCATCAGGTTTTCTAGTGTCTCACCTGGGATGCAGCTGAGACGGGGTTTTCTGCCGCCTCCATGCAGTAGATGATGGGCACATGATCGGCATTGTTCGGCAAGTAGTGGATCAGGCAAGCCTGCACGGTGCACCACACGTTACATAATAACAGGATCTCAGAATATTGGGATGCACAAAGGGATCGAGCCCCCCCCCCCCCCGCCCCATTAAACACTGAAGTGTGTTTCTCTTTTCTAGATATATTATTTTTTAGTTAATTTCCAATTTTGTTTATGTCTCAGATTTGGACGGCACAGCATCTGACCACAACTCAGAAAGATAGTACTGTGTGCTACAAAAATACTTCTGGAGTCGCTTCAATAGAACTGCCCAGCGTAGCACCAGACTGTGCTTCGTCATGCTATGGAAATGTAATTTGCATGCATAAAAGTTATATAATACAACTTTTTCACACCCTGGATGATACGCGTCACATTTGACAGAGACGATAAAACGATATAATTTAACATCCTGATTCAATGTTCAATGACTGTCCAAATATGAACCCAGGATCACTAAACGTCCCGGCTCAGTGCTATGAGACAGATATTATAACCCCCACATTTGTATTCCAAGTATAGATGGACATTCTTCATTGATTTACCACTTGATTTATGTACGTGCACCATGTGCCATCAAAGTGCAGAGTTTACAATCCAAATCGTTCAAATTTGATCGCGAAATAAGTGATTAAGCGTGTAGTGTAGCCCCACTTATTTAGCTCAAAGTCAGCATTTGCGAGTAGATATACTGCCCTCATGCCATGGCAGATTCCTATAGATTTTTTTTTTAATTCACCCTCTTTCATTTCCGCGTGACTTCTCTGAAAACCAACCCTTAGTAGTCTTGTGGCTCAGACTAATTTTGTGAAACCACCTTGCGTGTTTTTTTTGGAACATGCCATTGTTTTGAGGATACCAAACCAACATCAAATATTTCACCGAGTTTCTTGTGATAACCATACAAGGAATATATTATTATTATTATTGTTAACCCGTCCGTGTTCCAGCGATGCAACCCAAGCGCACAATTTGCACGACTTGAAAATTCCGCGGTCTTTTGCGTCATAAGAGCCAGTTGCCGGTCTTCTGCCACTGCACATGAAGTCTGCTCGATCATTGCCATTGTAGTCCCACAGGGTGTGGTGGCTGTTAGTATCACCATCGTGGATTTGTTTGGTGGTGGTAGCGGTGGGCACTGCCATTCTACACACGGGCCTTCATGGCTATGCAGCGGGGTGAGTTGTTGGGCACGACCTCGTACCAAGTCCTGCAGGTCGGTCTTTATGTATGGTGCGACAGGGACTTCCGGTCACGAGGGTCTAACCCGTTTCTGTTCGAGCGAGGCCGTTCTTGATCCGGATGGGTTTCTTCCAGCGCCAGGACGTCGGGGTGTCTTTAAACCCGCGGAACTTGGCGATTCAATGTCATTTAGCGCCAGAGATGCTCTCGGTGTTTAGCCGCGTTATTCGAAGGGACGGGCGGACATTCAGATTTCTTTGGCCTTGGGAAGAAGGGCCGTTTGTACCATTGCTGACCACGCCGGGATACCTTTGGCGAGCATTCGGCCGCCGATTGAATGAAATTCGTTTTGCTTTCACATGTAGAAGGGAAGATAATCTTGTTGCTGTTGTATGTCGTGGTGATGACGATGTGGTTGTATGATATATAATGAGAAATACCTCCAATTAATTAACGTGTGCGGGTTGGTGATTTTAAATGTAACTTCTCTGGATAGCGGGAACTAATAAATTAAATAATGACTCAACGCGTGAATTAAATAATTAACTAATTAATCAGGTGTGTATACATGCACGCACTCACCTGCAGCAGATTCCCAAGGCATTCGTTGGGGCCGTGCTGACACGTGAACACCCACTTATCCCCGTCGTGTTTCTCCTGCAAACAATGAAGACAAATGTGCACGAGCTACCGAACCCTATGGCCGAGTTCGTCGTTACCACAAGTCCCCTTTTAAATGCAGGCGTCACTGGGATCTCTCTCGCACGTAAAAAAAAAACATTAAAAGTCAAGTGTCTCCATACCCAAATAAACAATGGGCGATGCTCATCTCCAGGCATGGAACTGTGCCAGTGGTGGACATTCCACATTCCTATAGCAGGAGTTTATCAAACGAACTCACTATTAACTTCCCACAAGGTAGACGTCATCATTAGACCTCCTTTGCAAGTACCAAAATGTAATAATAGGGTTTTTCCCCTTTTTTCTGGCAACAAAACTGAAACCTTTTTACAAGGATTCATGTCTGCATTAACCTACAGTCAAAATGCAAACAAAAAAATACTATGATAATAAATGCATTGTCCTTGAAACTGATTGGTCCACACCAAGGGACGGCTTTCTTTTGAGCCTCGACAATGCATATATTATCAGAGTATGTTTTTTGTTTGCATTTTGACTGCAGGTATTGTGGTTAATGCAGACATGAATCCTTGTAAAAAGGTTTCAGTTTTGTTGCCAGAAATAAAGGGAAAAACCCTATTATTACAAGGTAGACGTCATTATTATAAATCAACTAAACGTGTCTCCCTGCTCAAAATTAGCAGCGGGGACTTTGCTCATGATTTGGTGAGCTAGTGATGTGGATTCCTCATTCATATGGCAGGGAATGGTTTATCCGTTGGACAACCACGATTGATTTCCCAAAGGGACGGTGGGACTTGAACTCACTTTCTTATGATTGTGAGTCGAGCGCTTTGCCACAGTACCGCCTGGCCAGAGGTATGTGCACACACACACAGAAGCATACGCACAAATGTGTATCTATATATTTATCGATGAGTGTCTGCACCATACAGTGAGGGAAAAAAGTATTTGATCCCCTGCTGATTTTGTACGTTTGCCCACTGACAAAGAAATGATCAGTCTATAATTTTAATGGTAGGTTTATTTGAACAGTGAGAGACAGAATAACAACAAAAATCAAGAAAAACGCATGTCAAAAATGTTATAAATTGATTTGCATTTTAATGAGGGAAATAAGTATTTGACCCCTCTCAATCAGAAAGATTTCTGGCTCCCAGGTGTCTTTTATACAGGTAACGAGCTGAGATTAGGAGCACACTCTTAAAGGGAGTGCTCCTAATCTCAGCTTGTTACCTGTATAAAAGACACTTGTCCACAGCAGCAATCAATCAATCAGATTCCAAACTCTCCACCATGGCCAAGACCAAGGAGCTCTCCAAGGATGTCAGGGACAAGATTGTAAACCTACACAAGGCTGGAATGGGCTACAAGACCATTCCTAAGCAGCTTGGTGAGAAGGTGACAACAGTTGGTGCGATTATTCGCAAATGGAAGAAACAGAAAAGAACTGTCAATCTCCCTCGGCCTGGGGCTCTATGCAAGATCTCACCTCGAGGAGTTGCAATGATCATGAGAACGGTGAGGAATCAGCCCAGAACTAAACGGGAGGATCTTGTCAATGATCTCAAGGCAGGTGGGACCATAGTCACCAAGAAAACAATTGGTAACACACTACGCCGTGAAGGGCTGAAATCCTGCAGCGCCCGCAAGGTCCCCCTGCTCAAGTAAGCACATATACATGCCCGTCTGAAGTTTGCCAATGAACATCTGAATGATTCAGAGGACAACTGGGTGAAAGTATTGTGGTGAGATGAGACCAAAATGGAGCTCTTTGGCATCAACTCAACTCGCCGTGTTTGGAGGAGGAGGAATCCTGCCTATGACCCCAAGAACACCATCCCCACCGTCAAACACGGAGGTGGAAACATTATGCTTTGGGGGTGTTTTTCTGATAAGGGGACAGGACAACTTCACCGCATCAAAGGGACGATGGACAGGGCCATGTACCGTCAAATCTTGGGTGAGAACCTCCTTCCCTCAGCCAGGGCATTGAAAATGGGTCGTGGATGGGTATTCCAGCATGACAATGACTCAAAACACACGGCCAAGGCAACAAAGGAGTGGCCCAAGAAGAAGCACATTAAGGTCCTAGAGTGGCCTAGCCAGTCCCCAGACCTTAATCCCATAGAAAATCTGTGGAGGGAGCTGAAGGTTCGAGTTGCCAAACGTCAGCCTCGAAACCTTAATGACTTGGAGAAGATCTGCAAAGAGGAGTGGGACAAAATCCCTCCTGAGATGTGTGCAAACCTGGTGGCCAACTACAGGAAACGTCTGACCTCTGATATTGCCAACAAGGGTTTTGCCACCAAGTACTAAGTCATGTTTTGCAGAGGGGTCAAATACTTATTTCCTTCATTAAAATGCAAATCAATTTATAACATTTTTGACATGGGTTTTTCTGGATTTTTTTGTTGTTATTCTGTCTCTCACTGTTCAAATAAACCTACCATTAAAATTATAGACTGATCATTTCTTTGTCAGTGGGCAAACGTACAAAATCAGCAGGGGATCAAATACTTTTTTCCCTCACTGTATATGCACGTTTTTAGTGGGCACTTGTGCACATAGGTGCAATCAGACCAAGATATTTGCATGACTCTCAGAGAGCTATACAGCACAACCGGGAACACCTACGGCCATGCATTATGTTGGCGATGATGCTGCTGCTGCTCCATTGGCAGTGGTGTGCAAGCATGAATAACAAAATAACTCAACTATGAAACTATTTTGCAGAAATAGAAGCAACCTGGCCATGAGCTCAACGAAGTGGCGCATCATGTAGAAATAACAATTGACTGATTACCAATTTATTATATAATTACAATACTCCCCCTCCGCCTCAAATCACTGCATATGAATGAGTTCAATGATGACGTCACCCTGCTGCTGCTCTATTTAAGACCGGGAGCAAGTGAGGGCTTCACTATTCTGGCGAATTGCCCGATGATGCTGGATGTAATTACCAGCGAAACGTCGTACTCAAAAATTGTAAATGTTATGGATTCACTCTTCAACACACCGGTGGGCTAAAGTAGTGAACTATTTTGTCTTTTGTCAACGAGACACATTTTTTTTACTGTTTGGCCGTGTCGGGTGGTGGAGGGTTACGACACATTTATAAATAACGCGATCTAACCCAAAAACCTTTATTATGAATAATATTTGTCGCAAAAGCCTACGTGTTAAACTGCAATGTATAGGAGCTAACTTCTCGAAATGTACGTTGATTATAAATGTGAAGGGAAAAACATCGGAGGACCCGGAGAAAAATCCACGCGACTACGGGGAAAGAGACATGCAAACTCCAAATATACAGCAGGCGTCGGGGTCTTGATCGAACCCACGACCTCCTCCATATCAGGCGAGGAAGTTAACATCTCGCCACCATCAATACAAAATATACATAATAGGCTTTGTGTCAGGCAATGGCTCTTCTTCATAGCATATCACAAAATTATGTGCTCTGAATGAGGGCCATTGCCCAAAACGTCACCTATTAAATACTTTTAAATTGTACTTTTGAAGCCACGGTGTTATTGGCGAATGTGTTGAGTTTTTTTCAGTCATTTACTCTATCAATGACGAAGCAAAACCTGAATCGATACTGCCACGAACCAATACTTGCTGTTTGTATCACCACCTATAAAGGCATGATTGTCACGGAGATATGGGGCCGTCCATAAATAACGTCACGCGATTTTAGACGATTTTTGACCCCCCCCAATATGACGTCACAAGCTCTGCCCCCCCCCCCCCGACAAACCATATTTCCATTTTGAAAATAAAACATGCTTCAAATCGCTTTAAACTATTGTCATTGTAGTGCGTGTTTAATGTGGCGCTGCACTCTGATGTGGTAGGAGAAAACATTTATTAAAAAGTCTATTAAGTAGAACGTGTTGTCTATATTTATTAAAAGTTGCGCATTTTGATGTGACGTCACATTTCTCAAACCCCCCCCCTCCCTCGTGATACATCGTCACAAATGTCTGACCCCCCCCCCCCCCAGGTGCGTGACGTCATTATTGACGGCCCCTTAGTACTGTTGCAGGACGCTCCTTAAAATAGAGCCCAACAGCTTACCCGGCCCCGTCCTTCTTAAATAAATAAAATCTATCAATCTAAAGCCTGAGTGTTGTTAACAGGATGGCAGGCGGAGAGCTATAACGTGCGTGTCTGTGCGCGTGTGTCTGTGCGCGCGCGTGTGTGTGTGTGCTCTCATACCTGGGCATTGCCGTACGGCACCAGGGTGACGTTCATGATGTCCCCCAGGAGGAGCCACGTGCCGTAGAGCTGCCCCGTGGTGAACGCGCGGCACCCGGGGCACAGCGACTCCGCGTACAGCTCAAGGCTCACGGCCTCCGCACCGCCGCATGCACGGCCATCCTGTCGTAGGGCAACCGCCACCAACAAAGAGAAAGATTCCTCCCCGCCTTGAACAGACTGTTGGGGCAGGTGCTGTTTTTCACGAGCACCTATGGCGCACGAGGAGGTGGTGTGGCCAGTAGTCACCAAGCCCGGCCGACCTTCGCCCACCCCTCCCCCCCACTGCAATGCTGATGTTTACAAACCACACCAGGTGCTGTACTCATTGAAGGCTGCGTCGACCTAGGGGAAGGCCGCCCCGCCCAGGACCGGCTCAAATATTCGCCACCGTTATTGGCCCCGAGCGGCAATCCAACTCTGGTCCACTGGGTTCGTAGAGCACCGTGCAAGACCGCTCCCTCCCACCACGACCATCGTCGTCATCATTAGCATCAATTGCATCACCAACATGAGCAGTGACACACTCACGCATGTTCTGTCCCAGGTCGCCATGACCGCCACCATCAACCACCATGTCCTCATTAACTACATCATCATCATCATCAGCCTCATCAGCATCAACATGAATGCACTCATAAATAAAGGTAAAAGCGTAGCCCTCCAATTGCTTGCTCACGCCGCTGCCGGCAGATGGGCCCGCAAACCAGGGAGTTCTCGGGGGTGCTTAGTCTACTACTATTCTTCCACACCGTTGGAAGAGGTGTGCTTACCCACAGTTTACGCCATCACACACGACCTGCCCATTGATTGTGGCGCACACACCGATTCTGCTGGGTGGACAGAGGCGGGCGTGTGGATTTCAGAACCAAACTCATAACTGTTCATAAGTAGCGGCGCCTATATAAGGTATATTCTAAAAAAGAGACCATTAATTTAATGTAACTCACACCTGCTTAACAATGTATATACTACTAATAATAGAGGAATACATGTACCCAGAAAAAAGCATTACCGAGTAAAGATTCGAATACAAAGGAACTCCTGTGTAGAATGTTTTGTCACACTTTGTTTAGTATGGGTTTACATGTGGTCAGCATTTGGAATTCCCAGAGACAACCAACAGAAATAAAATGTCAGAAGCCTACTTGCTCTACTGCCTCATATAGCCACCTTTCTATTTGGATAACGCACGCAACATCATCAGGAGACTCACGGCCCCATCTCTGCGTGATCCACCAACCTCCTCGTCACTGGATTAGAGACAGGCGCGACCACAGTTGGGAATTTAAGGCCGACCAAGCCACATCGTTAAGTTAAAGACGTTGATTAAACCACGACATGATGAACATTATGAACTATTGTAATCATTTGTTTTTCTGACCAATTAATTATTATCAGTGACCAGGCTGAGACAGAGTGGCTCAGAGCCTATTTTTTGTTGGGAGCCCGGGATTTGTATTCAAGACTTTTCATGTGCTGCATCGATAACTTACTTATTTTTACCGGGTAAGGCTCAATGAGCTACGTAGCTATTTCTCAAAAGCGACCTGGCCACAAAATGATAGTTCAACGAAGTGGCTTATCAAGTGGAAATCTGTAGCAGCCAAATACTCCAACTAAACGAGTGTTGATTCTAAATGTGGAGGGAAAAAATGGAGGACGCGGAGAAAAATCCATGCTACCATGGGGAGAGAGACACGCAAATTCCAAATACACAACTGGCGTCAGGGTCGGGATTGAACCCACGACTTCCTGCATACCAGGCGAGGTAGTGAACATCTCGCCACCGTGGGACTCCCACTCTGATACCACAAACATGAGCATCCGTCTCCCGAGCCACCTATCCCCCTCAATGTAGCGTTGTACCGTATTTAAAGTTACTGCACTACCTAGGAGGGTTCCAGGTACCCCAGGGGGCTTATGATAATTCAGATACCGTGATCCATCACCCCTGATTAATCCAGGCTTTCAGCTGCCCTTGATTAAACCAGGGTATTTCTGTGTGGTGAGTTGAAGGTCTCAGCCTGGGTCACCGGTGACTTGCTCCGAGACCCATCGGCTTAAGAAGAGACAGGGGCACAGGCGTTGTGGTTATCTAGAACGACTCCCTAAACGTTTACAGATATCATAAGAGACACCCGCAAACGTTTCGCTACAAAAATCGTGGCATTTTTTTATGCTGTATTTTTGTTTATCCCTTCATTCAACAAGGTGACACAACTCTGAGCAGATGACGCTTTAAATACACAGCATTGCACGAGCAGCAGGCTCAGTACTGAGTCCGTTAACTTCTTCTTTCGCATGGCTGATGTAGATGCAGAGCAACAATCTCACATTCAGGTCAAATCAGATAACCGCGTGAGGAGCACAGGAGTGTATCATCACTGTGGTGTCTCCTTCAAATTTGTGGATCGGGCATTGCGTCGTTATACGTTGTACGGTCTGTTCTGGATGACCACAGTCGCACACTGTACAGTTTTTACTGAGTCATTAGCCAATATTCACGTTTATTTACTATGAATATGGTACAGCAGTTCAGTGTAACGTGGCTTGTATGCCAAAAAGTCAAGCATTCCCTTGCTGGTCTCTCATTCGGAAGCTTTCATTTCGTTACATCCGACGAGCTTACACTGCACGAGTTTCACAAAGAAAACCAAAGTGAAACATGTTCAACAGAGTGTGTCAGTACTTGTTGTAAAGTCTCGAGGTGAAGACAGGGTGTTAGCAAGTCTGGAGGGGGTCTGGGTTGGCAAATTCCCCAGAGTGTCCAAAAGAGACAGCTGGGGAAATTCCCCCGGAGAATCCACGAGGATAAAAGCCAGGGTCAAGATGGGAAGTTCGGGGTCTGTGGAGAGGGACTCGGGCCATCGTCGTTGTCTTCACGTCATCACTGTCTTCCCTGTCTTCACGTCATCGCTGTCTTCAAGTCATCGCGGTCTGCTCGGTCATACGATCTCCACGTCGGCGTTATCTCATGACCACGGGGTCCTAAGCTACGTTACGTGAAATAAAATAAACCTCGAAAGTTCGAGTCCGGAGCCATTACAACCGGTGTCAGAAGTGGGGTGAGTGCATGCAAGTGTGGCAAAGGTAATTCGCGATCGCATCCGCGGATAACAGGTCACCATGCATCCGTAACCCAACCAAGAGCCACATGGGAGGCATTCTCTGAGTCGGAAACCCCCACGTTGTTGTTAAAACCGGATTCTCAGGTGTAGCGAGTTGATCGTCTCAGCCCGGTCACCTGTGACTACACACACACGCGCACGCCTATCACATTGTACATCGGCTCTGTCTCTTTTATTATATTTCTGCTTGCTGACTACAGTACAAAATGGCAAGGGATGGGGATCAGGTGGTGATCAGGGTGGAGGGGAGCGAGGTGCAGGCTGCGGTGGTGGAGGCATCACGGCCGTGAGGTGGTGCTGGTCGAGGTAGTGGGAAAGAGAAGGGGAAAAGCGGAGTAGAGAAAAGAGATAGGAACTGAGGGCAATGTGAAAAGAGGAAAGCGAGGGGAACAGAGTAGGATATGGAGATGGAGTTTGTTGGCTTCACGGTACCTTGCGAAAAGGAGAGGCGTCACAGGGCTTTGCTTTCGGATGACCATGCGCATTGTTTGCCAGCAGAAGTACCACCACTAGACCGACAAGCACTCCCCATGACATCATCCTGAGCATGAAACTTTATCGCTGGTCTAAAAACAAAATGTGTGGCGCGAAAGTTTTATATTCAGCTGCCAACTTTACTTTTTGCTAGTTTTACAACAACAAAAAAATCAGTGCTTCTTCAACCGCGGATTTTCAGCCACTGAGTTGCTGCTGCCGCTGCCAGCTTATATACAGGTGGGCCAAGTGACGTAGCAGAGGAGGAAAGATCGTGGCGAATGATTCACATCGCATTGTCAATGCTTTTGGCGTTGCGTAATGCGTCCAACGGAATGTCAAGGCACAAAGGGCAAGCCAGTCTTGGTAATGAGCCCCTCAGTGCTTGATGCCAGCCAAACAAAAGCGTTGGGGGCATGAACTGTCTGACGGAAGAAAAGCAAAACACTTTGACATTTGTAAAGTTAAACCACGCGTCGGAAATGTGAATAAAGAATATCTTCAAAGAAAAGTTGAAAACAATAATAAGGTTTTGTTTTTGAGTACAGTCAAATTAAGATGTTAAAGGCCCTCCCCCCCCTTACTCAAATGAACACCAATACAGGTAGTCCCGACTTACGATGGTCCGACTTACGATATTTCGATCTTACGATGGCGATAGCGATATGACAAAATTGTAAAATATTTTTTAATTTCGCGCGGCAGGCAAAACGCAGCAGCGTTACGAGGTACAATACTGTAACTTTATCATCGCCATCCTCCTCTTCCGACAACTAAGTTAATGTAACCATCAACAACCTAACATCGTTCAAGTATGCAGACGACCGACAGAATCTTGGTGAGTACAGTAGAATATGATACGTGACGATACGTTCAATGCATGTATGATACGTAGCTTTAGCGATTTCATTTTAGGGTTACCACGATACGATACATACGTTCAATGCATGTTAAAAGTTTTTGTTTTTATAGCAGATAGGATTGTTTCCTGAAAAAACTTTCTATGAAATTGCAGTTTATATAGGTAGGCTAAGAATTTACCTTGTGTTTTTTACTTTAAATTTTACTGTGCAATACAGCATTGTAATTAATAAATACATACAGTATATAGTTTATACAGTACGGTACTGTAAATTGCTCTGTTTTGCTAAATTATCACCATTCTTTAAGACTCCTGGGTAGGCTAGGCCATTTTCGACTTAGGATATTTTCGACTTACGACGGGGTCGTCGTAACGCATCTACGTCGTAAGTCGGGGACTACCCGTATTATGATTATTATTTTTCTCTGATTGCGCTGATTTAAGCAGCACGGCCTCACCGAGTCTCAAGACTCTTCTTCAGGAGAGTCCTGCCAAGCTTGCGGAGCAGGGTGCGACGCTGCCACGTGTACATTTGCAGATAGTTTCCTTTCCGCATTTGGATGTTTGGTATAAAGTCAACATTACCAAGACAGGGCCCAGTCTGTCCACGTAACAAAAGTAGTACTTATTTAATCAACCCCAGCGGGATTATGGGTAGGATTAACCCCCATTCGGGATTTGAACTCACAACCTTCTGATTGTGAGTCAAGTGTTGTTTGCCACAGTACATGCATTCCCGTTTGCAGAACATGCAACTACATACGTATCGTATGTACATATTTACCTTTGCATGTCCGCTTGTACAACATTGACTTGCTGGTGGTTGCGCGCGCCTACAATCCAGCACTGTGGATCACACGAATGTTGTGAAATTCCCTTCCGGTGGACGTTGAGGAGTTGTGCCATACCCTGGATCGCCAGGAACAGGGGGTACAGCAAATATGGACTCCACCCGTTTCGTCTGTACGGGATAGAGCGTTGTCCCATCGCACTTGTGAGTTTTCGCCGGGCGCTCCGGTTTCCCCTATATATAAACGCATTAACTGGCCAATTAACACCTTAACATATAGAGGATCGCAGAGCTTTGGTGGAATTTGGCACCAGCTCACCACCTCTCTACTGCTTTCCCTCTTGTCTGTGGTCCATCCTCGCATCTCTGAGTCGTTCATCTCTCTTTAGGAGTGAGCAAATGCTGCTCATTGCACACGTAGAGTCCTTTGTAAAGCCAGTGCGTCAAATATAATCTCAAATTAAATATCGAACTCAGGTCACCCGGGTTCATACTGAAATGCACCGGATCCCAATTTATCAATATCTCAAAGGTGGCCGGGTGGCTTGATGGGGTAACCCTACGCCTTCGCAAAGAAGGTGGCGAGATGTTAACTCCCTCGCCTGGTATGCATGAGGTCGTGGGTTCGATCCCGATCCCGACCCCGACACGGTGAGCAGAAATTCCCCAAACCTCTGTTTTTAACGCTGTTCTGGCCTGAGAGGTCGGTATCGGGGCATAAGGGGCTTTCCACCCATCCGAATGCTATCTCCTACAGGGCCACCCAGCTGGAAAATATGAATACTGCAGTTGGGTGAGATCGTCTTAAAATATCAATTCGTTCAGTTTTGTTCTTTATTCGTAGCCAGTCGACAGCAGATAATGGAGCCAAGAAATATGCAGCTTGGTGTGCACATGTGTGTACAAAAACGCATGTACAGCCTTCTCGGCAATCCACTGCTGGATGAAGGAAACTCCACGCGGTGTCGGTCTTGGGTATTGTTTGACCATACTTCACTTACCTGGTCAATGCCGATTGATCAAGGCGGGGAGCATAGACGTAGGGGTATATAAGTTCAGTACAACAATGTCTGAACCCTCCCGGCTCAACATTGCGCGAGCTGACTGGATAACGCTTGAACAGTGCAGTAAAGATGAAGAGATAAGCATGGAGATTTTTTTTCTCGCTCACGCCACTGCCGGTGTAGAGGCCTCCACTAGAGGCCGCGTTGGCCGGACGACTTTTAAACGGTGAAAATGTGGGGAGTACCCACAGTTTAAACCCACCAAACACGACCTGCCGGTCGACTAACTGTGATTGTTCCTACAACAACAACAACCGCCATTCGCCACTAAGTGGCGGTGACATCACCACGACGCTTGTGCCAGGCCATGTGCACCTTGAGGCTACCACGTGAAGTGTCGAACGCCCGCTGGCAGGAGGTCACGGGGCAGACCCAGGTGCCCCACGGGTCGACTAACTGTGATTGTACCTACATATATACACATACACCACCCGGTGAGCAGAGGCTATGGAATTTAAGAAACATGCACCATTGTTTCAACTGCCACGCTGGAATATCGATCGTGCGACCTTTAGTTTGGCAATTCCCGTGTGCAGTGACCATTGCACCACTGGTGGCCGCGCGTGGTGTCAGCGTCACATTCGCCCCCTACCAGTGCACGCGCAGGGCAGATAACTAACTTTACATGGGGTTCCACGTGATGCACAAAAAGGCTTGTGACCTTGGGTAATAGACACATTTTTGTTTTGTAATGATTCATTCAAACAAAACAACAGCCCGTGACTCCGGGCCCCATGACCCTGTCCCAAGTGTGAGTCAATGCGCGCACATTGAGAACCACGAAAGCGTTTCTGCTCAGTCTGCAACGTCATGGGCAAGGGTCGACAAACCCGTGGCTACCAGAGTCACGTGCGGCTCTTTTTAGTCCGTGGGCCCAGGCCAAAAAAAAAATCACTTATTGGTACCACCTGAGGTGGCAAAGTCTAGTAATCATTTTTGTAATCCTTCATGTGTGTGGGGCATATTCTGATATGATCACCTTTGCGGAGTGGCAGCTTAGTTGTAGTTACCATGACTTTTACAGCCATACCCTATGACAGGCGTCCGGAACGATGAAATGGGCATTATTACTGAAAAACTACCTAGCCCAAAGCCAGTTAGGGCACAAACTGGTCTTTATTGGTTTAAATACACAATGAAAACACAGGATAATAAGGGATGCCATAGTGAGGTAATGAACTACTTGAATATGATTAACAATTACATTCGCATACACTTAGTCAAGTATACATGTAATCCCATATATATCATTAGTGATGGGTATATATGAAGGTTACATTATTTTTTATCAAGCTGTGTGTGTACTTCGATGGTGTTAACAAGGGTAACCAAGTCCAGAATCACCACACTGTGCATTAATGTATACGACTACTAGCACAGTAATACCATCATAATCACCGCCCTGTGTCACTCATCAAACTGCTCGTCTGTCTCGTCATCTGACTCCACGAGTTCAAAGTCAGGTTTTGGATCATCCTGTAGTTTTTGGTTACTGCAGGTCTGTAATCTGCACATGTCTGTGCATGTCAGTCCATTTGACAGGCACGTGCAGCTTGGCATTCTGCATGAACGCACACACTGACATGCTAGCAGTTCCAAGACCACATCTGGTGCGGGTAGGGAGCGCATCCAGTAAATGGCCAGCTTGCCATCATCGTCCGTCCATCCATACTCAGTAGGGCTTGGCACCACAGGGTTAGCCTGTGGGCAGCACTTCCAGATTGCTGCCTGATAGTTGGCTCGTTGAACATGCGTGTAGAGACAGTTCTCTACATGGTGGCAGCTGGCTAGACTCGACTTCTCCCCTCTTGGTGCAGAAGAGCTGGTGTAGCGCAGTTCGTTCACCTCACCAGTGCTGCTGTTAGCAACGTACATGCGACAGGTGAACTGCTCAATTTTCTGGAACAGCTCATCACTCACATTCCATGACTGCCCCAGTCGACTAAAAGTCTCTTGGCAGGAAATGCAACTCTCAGAGTTGCATTATCAGGTTGGATGTCTTTGTATTGACGGGCTGGATGTCCTTCTCGCTCAGTCACCGATGCTGCGACATGCTAAGCTCGTGCATTGACATGCTAATCTCTCACAATACAATAGCCACTTCCACAGCCTCAGGGAGACCATCTCTCGCCCCGCCCTCTCACCCTGAGGCTGTACCCATGTCAAGACCTTGTTTTAGTAGCTTTCTCTCTCTCACCTGAAGACGGTCGCTTGTGTTGCGTTCGAAACGTCGTGATCTATAATGTTCTATCTACGTGACTTTACCGAAAGAACCAAAGAGTATGGATTGAGGTTTTTTTTGTTTGTTTACCGAATTTGAACAAAAAAGATCTCCTCTCGTTATTTCGGTTGCCGATCCCTGGTCCATGTTCTAAGTGTGGGCGAATGCAACAGCCCCTTGGTCAATCCGCTGCTGGGCTAAAGGTCCTCCCGACGCCACACCGCTCATGAGGGTTCGTTTGACCGAATTCCACGCTGGTGA